GTTCTCCATCAGACACCAGGAAAGTCGTAGGCTCCACCAGAGCATGTCCCAACCCTCCTTGATCAAAGTGTGCAGCGTACATCCCATAACGCTCGCAAAAACATTTCACTTCTGGCCAACTCCAGAAAGTGGGACTTGAGTTCCCTTCCTGAGAACCATCCACAAGATCCTCAGCGCTCAAGACCTTCTTTTGATTCTGAGAGAAATCCTTCCCTATGAGCTCAGGGTCTCCTGGACTTTCCATGCCAAAGAAGACAGAGCTCCCATTGGTGACTCCAGCGATTCCACATCTTGAATGCACCGCCCCGTCATATCTTCAGAAATAATACACCATCCTTTTGCGCTAATTCTTGATGCGGCCAGGAAAGACTCTTCAAACCAAAACGTTCAGGACCCCGGCGTCGACGTAATACAGGTGGACCACCGTCTTCACCCCTCAGCCTTGACACCGTCCTGCATGGCGGTCCCCCAAACACAGCCACCACCTTTCCTTCAGCCGCCAGATGCAAAAGATACTTCCAGACGCTCGGATTGTGTAGGTCTCCACCTTTCTTCAAATCCAACTCCAGTACCTCCACATCTCGGCTGGGAAAATGCCATTTTTGTTTTCCCGAAAACAGGTGAACAACCACCCTTTTTGCACGCGCCACCCGTCGCCTTTTATGACGGTTGAAAGGCAACGCTGCAATATCACCATGTGGCAACAGCTCCATCAGCATATGTTCTGGTACTTCTCCATAATACCACCGAAGAAATCGCCAACGAGCCTGGACGAACCCTTCTTCGTTCGCTGGCGCTGTCCGCGCTGCGCTTTGCAACGACGCATTTACGGCCACTTCATTGTCCGAATTCGGACACCCTTGAACTATACGTGCCACCCTTAATACTTGTTTGGGTGAACACCAATCCATTTCATCAATGATCTGAAGCGCCACATCTTTTCCAAACAAGGACACCCATTCAGATCTCGAACGCGAGGCTCTCCCAGAACAGGGTGCGAGGCTGTGCACTTACCCCCACGCCATTGTGGATCCACCTCTTCAGGAGTTACCAGGGTTCCACCTTTGGTAATACACATCTCCCTAGATCCAACAGCTAAAGACACCATCACCTTTTGCTGCGATCGGAGAGGATGTGATGCCCCCGAATCCAACATGCCCATTCCAGAACACTCACTGGTGTCTGAGGCTCTGGCCACACGAAGGACGCATACTCCTCGGCCTTCTCCCTGCTTCGGCAACAACGTGGCATCTGACGAACCGACTCCACAGTCCGCCCTTCCACTCCTCCATTGAGAGTGGGACCCAAAAGCACGCTTCAGCACCATCTTCTCAGCTGTCTTGTCGTCCATCACCAAGCAGCCGTGTTCAAACCATAAGAGCTGGTCCAGCGAAGATTTTGCCCCCACCTGACACATCCCATTGATCACGGTGAGGTTCGCCCCAAACTCTAAAACCAACCAGAGGGGAATAATCAGGGGCCCATTGTCCTCCCCAATCAAGGTCCTTTTCTCTGTGATCCTCATAGCCACACCACCAAGCGCGCTTTGCACATTAACAGTAGTGTTCGGCAAACATTCCCAGGCAAAAAGCGTCCGCACAAGATGCGTAGCAGCTGTCTCCACCCAAGCCACCCTCCTTCCATGCTAAAAAACCCCAGGACCACATAACATCCGAATACTGGGATCCCCGCTTGATGCAGAATGCGTTGGTGACAGTTTCAGAGATTTCAGCACCTCTAACGCCTCAGCAATGACTTGATTGGGTGTTGATGGTGATGAGGGACTTGCAGAACCTCTTTCCGATCCCACATTAACCGCCTCATCTCCTCCTTCAGCCACTTCTGCCTTTTTGGCATCTCCCCATTTCGCACCTTTGCCGCCTTTCCCCCCTTTGGGAGAATTCCCTGTGGGTTTATTTCTTTCTGAATTCGGGTCTGCATTGAGACCGCACCATCTTTGTATGGACACTGCGGCTGTAACTGGCCAACGGCCCCACATTCAAAACATCTTCCACGCTCCAGGGAGTCCTTGTCGTGGCGAAACTTGCAGCGTGAACCAAACCTGCAGCCTGCATCAGTCTTCCCATATATCCAACAGAAAGGACGTTCACCGTCGTTGTTGTATCTTTTGCCTTTCCCTTTGCCTTTGTCACCCTCGTCTGCCTCGTCACCATTCCCCTTTTGGGCTTTGTTCAATCTCGCCCTTTTCTCCGAGTCCTGCTTCACCTCCTGATCACCAGCACTCTGCAATAGCAGTTCAAACTCTGCTTGCAGCTTTTTACTCACTATCCTCACGTAGCCGCACGAGCATCCGGAGTGTGATCCACATCAAGCCGAAAGAAGTCACAGCGATGGAAGGCCTACACTCAAGAAAGACCAATCTGGAATAAGTGAAGCGATTGACTTTTTATGAGAGGGTTTCGGCACGACCTTGTTACCAAGACGAAGTACAAAACACCAGATGGCATTAGGGTGGCTGAACCGGCGGAGGCAAGTCAAGCCGGAGGTATGACCTAAACCGACAGTTTTAAGAGTAGAAAGCCCTGTGACTGCCTCAGCCTTGCAGCCGTGCAGCGCCAGAATGTGCAACATTAAATCTCGGAATCTGCGCACAGCTTTGCCGATGGGAAGTCTGCTATGAATAAAACTCCGATGAAGTCCGAAAGAGGCCACAAAATCAACCAGCAACAAAACCCAGCAGCATCTACCAACAGTGTGCCTGGAGCCCCAAGACCACTTCCCATCCGACACAAATGCAGACATCTGAGCAAGCACCTCCTGGTGCACGGCAGCGCCACCCACTTTAATGGGTAGTATGTCCAGCAACGGCAAAGCAGCCGATGCAAGGACCGGAGAGGTCATTGCTCTATTTAAAGTAGGATGAACCACCCCAAGTTTGCAGAGTAAGGTACGCTCAGGCACACCACCCTGTTCAACACTCCTACAAAAAAGAGCCTCAACCCTACCCGCAAACACATTAATACAATCACCCCTACATACAACGGGTTGTTTGACACGGCACCTAGTCCTAGGCTGGCAACTGCAAGTGATACTCACTCGCTTGGCTCCACCGGAAACATAAAAACTCGGAGTCTCAAGTTCGCAATCAATGCCCGTGTCATCCTTGCGCGAGATCAGAGTGGCAACCAAGTGAGTCTGAATATCAATGGCTCGTAAAATAAGGGGCTGCAGTTCAGCGAGCTTTCTTGCAGCTTCTTCCTTTGCACATGCTTTAGCAAGTGCATCAGCCCTCGCGTTTCCTTTAGTAAACGCAGCAGGCTGTGAAGTATCATTATCCTTGACATGGGCCTTGACTTTTTGAAAGATACAGTCCCGATTTGAACCTTTGACTTCTTGAATGAAAGAGAGCCATAGATCAGGGTTGTCAAGCGCTCCCACATCTTCGTACTCATAGTCATGCGCCTGTAGTGACGTGGCAATGTTCACGAAATTAGCACAATCCGACACAAGAGTGATACTTCCGGAAGTGGCTTTGAGGGCCAGAACTGCCGCGTAGAGTTCCGCAAACTCTGCTTGCAGCATTTCAGCTAGTTGTGTCGCAGTTTCAGATGTTGGAGAGTAGTCCACTCCCAATTTCTCCCGAAAGGAGGCCACTCTAAAATGAACCGTAGGGTGTTTCGCCAGCAAAGTTGACGATAATGCATCCAATCCCTTGATAAGCAGGGTAGCATCAGGTTCATTTGCCCTGAGTTCCCTCAACCGGGAACGCCACTGCGCCCATTGGCGTACTCCCTTGATTGCTTCGGAAACCGAGGTAGCAGAGGATGGTTGCACCAAGAAGTTCAGCATCGTACTGCCCTCGTGAGCTCCACCTGGCTGGTAGACCGTCAATAACTTGTAAAATATCATCGTGGGCCCCAGCATTCGAGTGGAAACGATCTCAGTTGTTAATCTCTCCGGGATCGCTTGCAACAACAGGGACACCGCCCTTTGCTCAAGCAACACATGCGCAGTCTGAACCACCTTGACCCCTTCCAGCTCGGCCTTGATGCCCAACCTTTCCACGGGGAGACACTCAACCATTTGGCATACACCTGATACGCCCTTGAATGGACGCCTTGCCACCGCACTCTACCTGTATCCGTCAGCGAAGATAACATTGGCTCAATCATTGTGATCCAATCTCCTAGCGCCGTGGGATTGCTTGGAGTGTATTCTGCCAGCGTAGGCAGCGTCACATGTTTTCCAAGAGCCTGGACGTTCCGTCCCAGAAATATTACCAGCTGGCGGCATTGCCCGAGGCACTACTGCAGCTTGAGGTAAACTCACACCACCAGTGGGCCTTGGCAGAGACCCATATCCCACACCAGACGTAGGCGCTGTCAGTGGAACCTTTTCCAATTCCAACTTTCCAGCAACCATTTTCCACCGATACGGAACACCGTCCACCATTGTGTATCCACCTGACCCCGCAGCATCCACATGTGACGACGCCTCCCGAGCAGACATAAAGCCGGGCGGATTCATCATCGGAACTGCAGCGCTTCCTGCCGGTAGGGGAACCACTGGAACCTGTGTCAGACCTGGCGCACCTCCCATATATTCATTGCCTGTGGAGCTCGCTGGGGGATGGTTCAGCGGTGGTAACCAGGTGAACTACCATGTGAACTCAGATCTCTGGCGCCTCCGTGGGCTTGCAGAAACAGCACCAGCGCTGCCAGAGAGCTCCTGGCGTGTTCCGGTCGACAAGCCGGTGGGGGTACGCCTGTGATGCACGCAAGAACTACACCGACCTGCAAGAAACTGCAGAGTGGTTCTCTGGAAAGGAGGTGTGGCAGAGTGTCCTGATGGGCCTTCTCAGCCACACAGCTGCGTGCAATCGTGATCCACATGAGTGCCTGTCCAGTGCCACAGAGTCATCCTGAGCAGTGACTTGTCTTGAGCTTTTGTTTAACAAGGGTGAGCCTGTGGCGCGGAAGCGTGCAATCGTGATACACTCCACGCTGTACGACGGCTTCCTGGAGGAGGCTTGCGTTGCAATGGGAATCCCGGTCTTCAGCGTGACAGAGAACATGACAAATCACGCCTTTGCCACGACTGTGCTGGGCAATGAGCTCCTCGAGGTCAGGCTGCTGCAACTTTAGGTCAGCTTTTGTGGGCAAAAGGGCAGAAGTGATAGAACGCACGAAGGTCCCCACCTCAACCCATTCCCTCAGGGTTGGAAGACGAAGACGGGCCCATTGGGCAACATGACCCCGGCCTATGATGTGACACCGCCACCGCTGCGCTCACAAGATGGCAAGCCGGTCGACCCACCGACCCTTCCAAAACTTAATTTGTGCTCGCTTGAAGGTGAGGGTGGTGGACTCCGGCTGCACCTCCCGCAGTCGGTGAGGTCCGAGTGGTTGCTGGACCCCATCCGGTCCCGAGAATGGAGAGCAATGCTGGCGAAGTTCGGCCGGAGCTACACCTTGGCAGGTACCCAGGCAGAGGCCAATGGTGCTGCCGGTGAAGCGCCTGTGGCTGTCAATGCAGCAGCGGCCACAATCAAGAAAGTTGATGACTTGCAGAATGTTTGCCAGACGATTGCTGGACCGCCCGGGTCCAACATCATGTTCAAGATCACAGAGGGCCCGGAACTTTGGGTATGTGCGTCTGGTGGGGAAGGCTGCCTGGACACCAAGTTCGCGCTTTGTCACGGTGCAGGAACATGGCTGGTGGAAGCCAAGTGTGACAAGTTCATGGAGGAGCTGAGTGTTGTGCAACCTTGCAGTATGATTCTTGAATGACCTGTTTGTTTCCAGGGCAATGCTGGTCAGCCATGCTCTTGAGGACCATCCGGGAAAGGCGTTCCTTTTCAACCTGGACAATGACATGGTCAAGGTGATCTATGAGCAAAGGGGCTCGGACTCTGACCCGATGACCATGTGCAAGTGCATTCAAGATCTTGAAAAGACTGGCCACCCTGATTTGACCATCGGTGGGCACGAACATCGACGTCCAGCCGAAGTGTCAAATGGCTCCGGGGAAGATCAGTTTGAGACACTGGGCTGCTTTGGGCAATGGCGTCCATTCAGAATTGCAGTGAGAGTTCTTGACGTAACAGGAGTGAATCAACTGAGGCTCAAAAGGAACAAAAACTTGTGCTGGCGCCCGAATGCAGTGCAAGCTGCCAATGCCAAATTGACCAGTTTGATGTCGGTGTTCGAGCCAAAGCTGCTGGAGGACAGCCAGCACATTGCCTTCTGTTGCCAGTAGCCTTTAGGAACCTAGGCCATAGCAGGGTGGCTTGCTGCACAGGCTGCCGAGTCGATCCGAATGCACTGGCGCCTGCGATTTTGGCCGACACAGAAGCTTCTGTCTGCTGCCAAGCCTGTTTGGTTTGTGAAAGCGGCTGTTGTCCTGGAGGACGGTGAATGCACCCGCATAGTTTAAGCAATCCAAGATATCTGGCACAGCAAGCTGTGTGTTCAGGCAGCCTCACCAATGCTTACAGCATGCAGTGTGTCTGTCAGTGTCTGACTGAACTTAGCCTTGGCCTTTGACCTATGATCATTGATGGCTGGTCTGAGCCATATGCTTTGTGTCATCCATCATGCGAAGTACGGAAAGCCGGGGATATGAAGCACAGGGACAGCTCCATGCTGCTTGGACAGAGTCAACAACAACCGACTCCAGGGGATGTCCAGAAGCATGTCATACCATCTAGTCTGCTGAAATGGCTGCGCTTTCAATGTGGGATAGAAATTTGATAGGGGCATCCCGTGCTGGTTGGGACATTATGCAGACAAGTGGATGTGTGAGCTTTGATTTTGGAATCCCCAGCTGAACATGAGACAAACGCTTTGAGAGAGTCTTCTTGCGTCTCGTGCAAGAAACATTGTGCTTCAGAGCATGGCATGCTCTTCAACTGATGTCAAATTGCGGATGTTTGTCACATGCTCCAGTGAATTGCAGATGTTTCCGGTGTGCTCTCAGTTCTGTGCACATGCCTTGCTCCAGTGGCGATATGTAAGTCAAGCTGGTGTAGCACCTGGAGCTTTTTTCGCTGGCCAGCCTGGGCACATGGCGGACTCAAGAGATCTGTTCGTCGCGGAGTCTGATGAGGAAGTGGAATGGCAAGCCCCCCCAGTTGTCAGTCTCACGAACTTGAGCTCGGACAGGGTGACAGGTGGCGGCTTCAGCTTAGTGGCACCACTCGGACTCACCTGCGCCTTCCACACCCATGTCTTGCTGCTTTTTCTGCTTCTTAGCGAAAGGCAAGACGTTTGATGCTGATGGCAACCTGATTGCTAATGAAGGTGAGGGTGACGTGACGACGGAGTATCCATCACCGACAACACCAGTGACCTACTGCTGCTTCTGCTACATGAGTGAGTGTAATGAAACCTGCCCCAAACACAAGTATGATGCCATTTGGGATGTGACTCGGTAGCAACTCATGTGCAGGCTTTCCTGTATTTTTCCAGGGTTTTTGAAAGACAGCTCACTTTCGAGTCATGTTTGTGTCTTTGTAGCAACTCACGTGTAGGCTTGCCTGTATTTTGCTAGTATTCTAGTGTTTCTGAAAGACAGCCCACTTTCGAGTCATGTTTGCCCAGGCAGACCGGAAAGCACACGCGGAAGCCTTGGAAGCAGAGGCAAATTCAAATCCCGCATGCGTTCTCTCTCTCTCTCTCTCTCTCTCTCTCTCTCTCTCTCTCTCTCTCTCTCTCTCTCTCTCTCTCTCTCTCTCTCTCTCTCTCTCTCTCTCTCTCTCTCTCTCTCTCTCTCTCTCTCTCTCTCTCTCTCTCTCTCTCTCTCTCTCTCTCTCTCTCTCTCTCTCTCTCTCTCTCTCTCTCCTTCCCTCCCTCCCTCCCTGGCTCTTTTCCACCCTTACTCTCTGACACATGAGACTCAGAATTGTTCAGGGTAGTGGCTGTGGAGTCACTTTTTGCCAGGCACTCCGTGCAGAACGTGACCAAGCCATGGAAGGGCTGGAGGGCAAGGCAAATCTCTTTCACTCTCTCCCTTCAGGGACATGCAACACTGGCACTTCTTTTTCCACCTCCACCTTGACATCCTCCGGCATTGGCTGAAGGTTGCAACCTCTTGGGAGATCATAACCCTCGATAGGCAGCCACGTCCCATCTGGTGACACAGTCCAAAAGCTACCCAACCCATCAGTGTAAAAGACCTGTCCAGGCGGAAACTGCTTCTCTGGGCTGACACCTGGTGGATATACAGCGTTTGCGTCTACGACACCGGCGCTTCGTGCATGGGACGCCGACCCAGATGCAGCAGAGGTATAACTCTTCTCCTCCACTCTATGCAACCTGCTTCCCAGCTCCTTTGTATGCGCCAAACGCTCCTTCAACGCACGCTTGACAATCGCCATATCTTCACTTTGTTCTACACCAGTGGTGTCCGGAATCAGTTTTTCTTCCACCCGTGTCTCTCCAATGTCACCTCGCCCCATCAAACCTGACGATGGCCTCTCAGCTTGTCAGGTTCCCGATCCCGAAGATCTGGCAGCGACGGTGGTCTCCTCGTATGTTCACCACTTCTATCCCCTCCGCTCGCAGGAAGACTTGCCGGCCTTGATTGCCTCAGTCTCATTTCTTCATGAGCCCGCTCGCCCCAGAAAGCATTCGCTGCTGGAAATGGAACCACTTCATTTTTCCACCTGAGAAGTTTGTTGCACCAGTGCAACTTCCCTTCCATCCGTCAGTGCTTGTACCACTTGTTGTCGTTCTTCACCCCCATCACCGTGATTTCCTTCGGCATCATTGGCCTCCGATAACGGTCCAGGTTCAGATCGACGCCGCATCATGTCCATTGCACCAAACAAGGACAAAATCTTTACAAACCCACAGGGAGCCTAATTTGGGCTCATAACCTACGGGGGGCAACCGAAGGGGGACAAGGAACCAAACAGTCAACCCCAACCGAAGCCCTGAATTTCACCCTGGACCAACCAACCAACAACACAAACGCACAAACCCTTTTTGTTGACTGGCGCGTGGCCGTCTTGAGCCAAAGTAATTGCGGGTTCATTGACCCTTTTACAACCTCCAATACACTGCCTGAAATACAAACTGCAGCTCCGCATAGGGTTTAGGGTAGTGGCGTAGGGAGTGTTTTTGGGGTCCGTTTGCCTTGAGGATCGAGGGTGGCTATTTGGGAAGCTTCCAGAAAGCCCTTGTTTAGGGTTTAGGGTTTAAGGGTTTAGGGTTTAGGGTGTGGCTTACTTGGGGAGTGTTTTTGGGGTCCGTTTGCCTTGGGGCAGTGTCGGGTGTGATCCAGAAGGCCGATAGACCTTTGAGTAATGAGACGTCCTGGGGTACTGCAAAAAAAGGAGCCTTTAGGCCTTTACGCCTTTAAGCGCGCAAAGGCAACCCCTTTCTCCTCCAGAAACCTCAGCCGCAAGTAGACACTTGGTTTTTGTGGCTAGATCTTACGCTTTTCCACCCCCCATGCTTCTCCATTCAGTTCCACTGGGCCTCTAAACCCTAAACCCTAAACCCTAAACCCTAAACCCTAAACCCTAAACCCTAAACCCTAAACCCTAAACCCTAAACCCTAAACCCTAAACCCTAAACCCTAAACCCTAAACCCTAAACCAAACCTTCCAGATCCTAAACCCATGCGTTGGCAGAGGCAGCTCCGTCACCCGGGCGAGGAGACGGGTTGCAACAAGTCCTGCGCACCCTTAGGGCTTAGGGCTTAGGGCTTAGGGTTTAGGGTTTAGGGTTAACCACGAAACTTCTTGAATCCCACACGCCACACTCGGGGTTTGTTGTTTACAGGGTTTGGGCTTGGGTTTGGGGGCTGGCATGGCAGGGCACCCTAAATTCACCCCAGTCCCCAAAAAAATGTTGTTTTTCAGGGCTTCTGGTAGGCTTTCGGCAGGGCGGTCGCCTTACATATCCGCAGGGTGGTGGAGCCGGATGGAGAGGGGAGGTAAAGATTAGGGCATAGGGTAGCGACCCTCGATAGCAGCAGTCTCATTTAATAGGGGCTGCAATGGGGGTGGAAAAGGTGACAGGTGCTTTCTGCGGAATCTGTTGCTAGAACAAAGTCGGTTTCGATGAGGAGCAACAACCAGACGATTAACTTATAGTACTCCCTAACCCTAAACCCTAAACCGCAATTCCGGGAGGACCCTCGCGAGAGCCTTCGCAGACCCTGCACGAAAGCACCGGAGAGCCTGCCGGACAGGCGGAAAGTAGGCTTTAGGTCCGCATTGTACGTTAAGCCTTGAACCCTAAACCCTAAACTCTACTGGGACTTCTAGGCACGTTACCTTAAATCGGCTGTAACATGAGAGCTGCCGTGGAGCTGTTACTTGCCCTGCTGCGAAAAGGGATTCTTAGGTGACCTACAAAAAGGTAGGTTTTGAGGCCCGAAATCCTGAAAACCTAAGCCCTACAGGGCTATTGTGTGGGATGTCGCGTGTAAGTTTTGTAGGGCTGTCAATGTCAGGTGTTTTGAAAGACGTCCCATGTTGCATGCTTATCATGTAGCAAGTCCATGTTCTTTGGATGGAGCAATTGTCGAGCTTCATCTGCAAATTTGTTTTGTCTGATTTGAGAAAAACAGATGGACGCACTCGCTTTGCCAGGATCCAAGGAGCATCCCAACCACGGAGCGTTTTTTGTAAAATAGTCAACGGACCATACATAGCGGGACTGAGGGGAGGAGCTTTTTCATAGTGGTCATGGACTTCAGCGACATATGCTGTGATAAACAAGTGCAGTGTGACATCAAAATTAGTCTTTAGGGTCTAGGGTTGAGGGTTTAGGGTCTAGGTTAGGTACCCCTATACAACGGTAACCATATAAAGTACCTAACTCCCTCATTCCCTCCGAAGAACCAGGAGGTAAAACCTTAAACCCCAAACCCTAAACCCCTAAACCCCTAAACCCCTAAACCCTAAACCCTAAACCCTAAACCCCTAAACCCTAAACCCCCTAAACCCTAAACCCTAAACCCCCTAAACCCCTCAACCCCTCAACCCCCAAACCCTAAACCCTAAACCCTAAACCCTAAACCCTAAACCCTAAACCCTAAAGCAAGGCGGAGCCTTCGGCGCCGGCGGCCACCCAGCCCTCACGTGACGAGGTGCTTCGGAGCTCTGAACTCCGAACCCTTTATATAGGGTTTAGGGTTTAGGGTTTAGGGTTTAGGGTTTAGGATTTGGGTTTAGGGTTTAGGGTTTAGGGTTTAAGATTTGGGGTTTAGGATTGAGGGATTAGGGGCTAGGGTTTAGGATGTGG